GGACCCGCGGACATACGAGCCACGGCCTGCTCTAGCGCGCCGCACGCGACCTCGGCGTCCGGCATGCATTCGTTGACCCCCCCCGCCGCAAATCGACGATTAAACCAACTTTGAAGCGCTCAGTTTCGTCGGCCTCGGCGTCCGCCCTGGGGCGCGGTTTCAGAATCAAGCCGCACGGGTTGACGTTGAGGTGCTTGGGCGGCGGAGTATCAATGGGACCAAAAAAAGAAACCTTCTCCGCCGCAGCAAGGCGGCCCCATTCGCGTTCGTCCCACGCGAGCTGGGATATGACGGAAGGATGATTGTGAACCTGCCTCGGAGCGACAAGGAACGCCCCAAAAGAGTGCCCGTGCCGCCAGGAATGCAGCAGGGTAGGATCCGCGCCGTTCGCGGACAGGAAATCGCAGCGGAGGTGAAGGCCAGGAACGCCCTCCCATTCCTGTAGACTGGAATTTCCATCTCGGACCTCAGCTAGGAGAACGTCCATCGTCGGAAACGCGTTGCTCGAGCCAGCGCCGCAGGCAAGCACGCGGGGGAGGTACATGAGAGGGGAGAGAAGGGAGGGCAGCAGCGTATGTAGGAAGAGGGTGAGGCGAGGGGCAAGGATGGGAGCGAAGCGCGGTTGTCTCCACGGCACTATATGTGCCGTGCTCTTTGGTCTTCAGACGGGAATCCGCACAAGTTGGCGAGGCGCGAATCAGAGCGTATGCCGCAAGGTACTTCTCGCGCGGATGGCCACGAGCGCACGGCCTCTCCAGAGCGGGTGGCACAGAGCCTTTCGTCGACAAGGCCCGGGAGCCTCGTCCTCCTCTTCCTCCTCCTCCTCCTCCTCCTCCTCCTCCTCCTCCTCCTCCTTCTCCTTCTCCTCTCCTGAATGGGGTGGGCGGGGTGGGGGAAGGGGGAAGGAGAGGCATGTTATGTATGAGTGTGCGTGAGTAAAGGGGAGGAGAGCGCGCAGCTTGGCGGGAGTCGACGGTCGCTCACCGTCTCTGCCAGAGTCAGGCGGAATGGCCGCCTCAAGGTATACAGCGCCTGTCGTGCCCCCGACTGAAGCCCCAGGGGGGTGAGGGGGAGTGAAGGGAATCCAGATGGAAGCAGAGATCGAGAGAATATAAAGAGAATTCTGCAGACAGGGGAAGTGCTAGGGCACGAATGAGGTACCCCTGACCGCTGACCCAGTTGCAACGCACTCGCACAAGGAATACTGGATGACGTGAGATGTGGTGCAGCCGGGACCGCTGACCAGCTGCCTCGGACAGACGGGCGATTTTGCAAAATCAGTGGCGAAGCGCCGGGACACGAATGGCGCGGCACGAGCTGCCGAGAAAGTGCACGCCTGATCGGAACTCGGGATGTTCGGTGAGACATGTTGCAGCTAGGACCGCGGACCAGATGCATCGCAGCGAATAGCTGGATGTTTTTCCCTGAAACAGCCGAACAGCTGACAGGAGAAAAGAGCGCCGACCGGGTGCGTCGACGAGTAGCTGGCAACAGAGAATGGGACAGCCAGGACCGCTGACAGGAGAAGAGACCGTCGACCAGGGGCATCGACGGGCAGCCGGCGGCAGCGCGGGGACGGCTAGACCCCGACCCTTGGAACAGGGCGCATGCGCGCGAGCCGAATCCAGCAAAACGCGCGACGAGTGACGGAGCGAGACAAGCACAGCCCAGCGACCCCGCAGAAGCCCCTTTCCCGAATGCGCAGCCCCTTGGAAAGGATGCCTCCTCCGCCTCCTCCTCCGCCAACTCCTCCTCCTCCTCCTCATCCTCCTCCTCCTCCTCCTCCTCCTCCTCTCCTCCTCTCCTCCTCCTCCTCCTCCTCCTCTTCCTCCTGCTCCTCCTCCTCCTCCTCCCTTTCTTCCTCCTTTTCCTCCTCCTCATCCTTCTACTTCTCCTTCCGCCTCCTCCTCCCTCTCCTCCTCCTTTTCATCCTCCTCCTCCTCATCCTCCTCCCCCTCCTCGATTCGAATCCTCCTCCTCCTCCTCGATGATCCTCCTCCTCCTCCTCCTCTTCCTCCTCCTCCTCCTCCTCCTCCTCCTCCCTCCTCCTCCTCCTCCTCCTCCTCTTCCTCCTCCCCCTCCTCCTCCTCCTCCTCCTCCTCCCTCCTCCTCCTCCTCCTCCTCCTCCTCCTCCTCTTAGTAGTGTTAATAGTCGTTGCGATCTTAATAGTAGTAATCGCATCCTGGTGATTATTGTCAATCGTATTAGGTTCAGTAGCCTAAATAAGATGATAGTGCTTACTACTAAGTTAACTGATTGTACGTGTAGCATTGATGTTATGACCATTCATAATATTACTGGTCTTAATAGTACTACGATTGATATTAATCCTATGAATAATAGCATGGTTAGTGTTGTTGTCTGATTGTTCGTACGAGTAAAATTCCCATTAACATTATGAGTATGCTTGTTCGCGTAACAAGAAGTATGATTATGCCTACGAGTATCAATACTATTATTGGTATTCGTGTTGTTGCTCCTGTGAGTGGCGATAAGATTATTAGACTCATGTGTAGTAGAATGCTTCTGGTTACGATGGTAATTGTCCCGTGTTGTGTATCGTGTTTAGTGGTGGTCGTATGAGTCGCACTCTTCTCTTTCGTGTTACTAGCATCCGCAGTTTCATTCGTAGTATTGCTACTTATCGTAATCATCTGATTATGAGTAGTATCAGTATTCTGAGTACTACGATGCGTCATATTAGTATTAGTGGTAGTCTTAGTTTTGGCACCATGCGTACTAGTATGCGTATTATTCGTATCATCCTGAACCCTTAGTAGTATCAGTATTAGTATGCTTAGTAGTATCTTCCTTGTTCATAGTTGTATTGCTATTTTTGTTTAACCAAGTAAATGTTCCATATAATGATGTGGGTTCATCGCCCTGGTATTCTGTCATATTGTGGTTATGAGTATAAATGTTACTATTGTCAATATAAATATGACTCGTTTTAGTCTTAGTATAACCATTACGCGTGTTCGTTCTACGTTTCAGATTCATACGATCAGTGGTGCTATGATTCGTCGTCTTCTGATTAGCATTATATGTAGTAGTAGCGTTATGATTGTTACTCGTATTCTTATTAGTAAACAGACGCTTCTTCTTATTACTCGTAGTATTAATCATCTTAGTACTGTTACTTGTTAAATACGTCTTAGTCTGATTCGCAGTATTACCCTTATTAGTATTAATATGTTTCCTCCACCTTCTCCTCCTCCTCCTCCTCTGCCTCCTCGTCCTCATCCTCCTCTTCCTCCTCCTCCAGCTCCTCCTCGCCCTCCTTTTCCTCCTCCTCGTCCTATTCCTCCTCGTCCTCCTCTTCATCCTCCGCCTCCTCCTCCCCCCTTCCTGTTCCGCAGCTCCTCCTCGCCCTCTGCCTCCTCATGCTTCTCGGCGCCCCCTGCCCGAGTGGGGGCTTCCGCCTCTTCTTCCGCGGTTCCTTTCGGCTCGTCAGCCTTCTCTGGCCCGGTTTCGCCAGCTGTTTCCTTCTCCTCCTCTTCATCATCATCCTCGTCCTCCTCCTCCTCTTCCTCCTCCTCCTCCTCGTCCTCGTCATCCTCCTCCAAATCCTCCTCCTCCTCCTCCTCCTCCGCCTCCTCCTCCTCCTCCTCCTCCTCTTCCTCCTCCTCCTCCTCTTCCTCCTCCTCCTGTTCCTCCTCCTCCTCCTCCACACCTGTCCTCGTCCTCCTCCTCCTTCGTTTCATCCTCCTCCTCCCTCCTTCTCCTCCTCTGCTTCATAGTATTCAAAGTATTCGTACCCGTTTTCTTCTTAGTCTGATTATCACTACCATTAGTATTCGCATTCGCATCATGATTCGTATTACTATTGTTAGGATTATGATTAATGATTATGAATACTCGTAGTCGTAAATTCAAAATGAGTGCTGTTATTATGTACGCCTTAGTGTTAGCACTGGTAATCGTATTCTAAATAGTAATACTAATAGTCGTCTAATAATCCGCTTAGTAAATAATATTATATTTACTCTTACTATTAATAGTCCGCTGCGTCGCATTGCTATGTGTATACGTATGTGCCATCGTATTGCTATGATTGGTATTATTATTCGTCGTCTTCGAATCATCATCCTGACGATTATCCTTACTCATAATATCCTTGTTGTTCCTAGTAATAGGCTTCTTCTTCTGGTTATTAATCGTAATAGTGCTGTTCTGCTCAATACGAGTAGCACTGGCATTACTAATCTTAGTAACCGTATAATTTGATACTACGATTAGGCTTGTTGCTATTATTATGTATCATAGTATGATCAATAACCGGGTAGTACTAATCAACTGATTCGTACTGTTATTCGTACTACGAGTATCACCAATATCAATAGACTTACTCTTATTACCATTAATAGTCGTATTAGTACGACTGTTCATATTAATGGTTTAAGTTTTCTTCTTATTGATGCTCGTAGTACTACCCGTGTTAGTTCGACAATTATTGATACTAATCCTCCTCCTCCTCCTCTTCCTCCTCCTCCGCAGTTCCTCCTCCTCCTCATTTCCTCCTCCTCCTCCTCTTCCTCCTCCTCTTCCTCCTCATGTTCCTCCTACCTCTCTTCTTCCTCCTCCTCCTCCTCCTCTTCCTCCTCCTCCTCTTCCTCGCCCTACCTTTCCCTTTCCCCTCCTTGCCCTTCTGGGACACCGATGCAGACAGGGGGGGAACGCAGCAGAGGCGGGACAGGGCGAGGAGGACTGACGGTGCCCAGGAGGGCGATGGGGGGGTGCGTGCGAGAGACCGAACGCACCGTTCAGGAAGAATCCCGGCCCGGCGGCGGGTACCGCGGCGGCGACTCAGCGGCTCAAGCGCAGTAGGACAGAACAGTATCGAACCAACACTTGCAAACACCGCCGTGTCGTTGTCGGCGCTGTGGCCCTGAAAGAATCCACGATGGGGGCGAAGGTGGGGATGAGACTAAGAGGACAAGGCAGACGAAACTCCCGAGGCGAGGCTCCCCCAAGATTCGGGCCGACCCAAGGCGGACACTCGTCGAAGACGCGGCCCGCCAGACTCCGTCGCACTCGCCGTCCTTGGCCGCGCGCCGTCGCTCCGATCCGTCCTGACACCTCCTCGCCCCTCCTCCTTCTCCTCATCCTCCTCCTCCTCCTCCTCATCCTCCTCTTCCGCCTCCTCCCCCTCCTCCGCCACCCTCCTCCTCCTCCTCCTCCTCCTCCTCCTCCTCCTCCTCCTCCTACTCCTCCTGCTTCTCCTCCTCCTCCTCCTCGATGATCCTCATCCTCCTCCTCCTCATCCTCCTCCTCCTCCTCCTCCTCCTCCTCCTCCTTCTCCTCCCCCGTCTCCTCCTCTCCTCCTCCTCCTCCTCCTCCTCCTCCTCCTCCTCCTCCTCCTCCTCCTCCTCTTGCCCCCCTCCCCCTCGTAGTATTAGTATCTTTTTTTAAGTTGGACAGCATTAGTATTATTATGTTTAATATTATCATTATCATTATTATCATTATCATTATTATCATTATTATTATTAATAATATTAATATTAATATTATTATTATTATTATTATCATTATTATTATTATTATTAATATTATGAATATCATTATTATTATTATCATTATTATTATTACTAGTATTATTAGTATTATTAATGTATTATTATTAGTATTAGTAGTAGTAGTAGTAGTAGTAGTAGTAGTAGTAGTAGTAGTAGTAGTAGTAACAGTAGTAGTCGTAGTAGTAGTCGTAGTAGTAGTCGTAGTAGTAGTAGTAGTAGCAGCAGCAGCAGCAGTAGCATTCGAAGTATCGGTGAGATTATTAGTAGTACGATTAGTAGTATGAACAGTATGATAAACATCAGTGTTAGTGATCATAGTATTAGTGATAATAGTATTAGTTATCATTGTATATATTAATGATAAAAAATATCGTTATTATGATTAGCAATACCATTCGTATGAGTTATCATTAATAGTTTTAGTATTACTACGAATGCGAGTATTATTGTTATTAGTGGTAGTAATCGGAATATTATTGGGACTATGAGTAGCAGTAGTATTCGTATGAGCATTATTGATACGAATATTACTACGAATGTTTGGATTAATAGTGTTATCATCATTCTCATTATCGTTATTATGTTTAGTGTTGTTACGGTTACGCTTGATACTGGAAATTGTATTATGAGCATGACTACTACTGTTATTATAAGGGCTCGTATTATTAGTAGTTTTGGCATCATTAGTTATTAGTATTTGTATTAGTATCATCCATGGTTTCGTTAGTGATCTTATCATTGGTGAGTCAAATATGATTTCTATTAGTACTACTATTACTACTAGTACGACCATTAGTACTGGTAATATGAGTAGTAGTAGTAGTAGTAGTAGTCCCTTTTATTAATGCCATTATTAATATGCATATTCATACTATAGCGATTAATAATACTAGAGTTATGTTGATTATTAGTAGTAGCATTAATAGCGTTAGTAGAAATATTGGTATTAGACTAATACTATTAGTATTAGTTTTAGTATTAGAGTTAGCATGGCCATTCGTAGTAGCCTTACTAGTTTTTGTTAGCATCATCATTATTATTTGTACTACCACTCATGTGTATTAATACTAATATTGTGAAAAAATACGAATACCAATATTCTTAGTAGCACTAGTATTATTCTTAGTATTCCTCCTCCTCCTCCTCCTCCTCCTCCTCCTCCTCCTCTTCTTACTACTACGCACCTCCCGTCGAACCATGAGGCCGAGGTGTCAACAGCAACTGCAGGCAAGAACAAATCACGCACGGGGAGAGAGGCGAGGAAGGAGGATTAAACAGCAAAGTCATCCCCAAAGCAATCCCAACTATGTTCCTGACGGCAGTGGCCCGGCGGGGTGCAAAATGCTGCCAACTCGGGGCGCATGGCATTCCAAAACCCTCCAGGTTCAGAAGAGGGGGAAGGCCGTGCACTGTTCAAGGACGGTCTCTGCCAGCAGTCGGCACAGCTGGGCATTACTTGGCGCCGGCTGTCCTGAAGCCACCTCGGGAAGAGAGACCGAGGAAGGGGGGGGGAGCGTCCGCGGCTACACCTGCCGCGGTTGAACACCAAGCCGCGGAACTCACGAACACTGGGGGCAGCCACCATGGGAGAGCGCGTGGGTTTTTGCCCTCCAACCTAAAACTCACAGCGATCAATAACAAAACACTCAACCTTGGAACAGCCGGCCCTCCCCTCCCACTTCTTAGAATAGTGAACCTCTTCTACATCCCAAGAGGAAGAGAGGCGCGCCGGGCCCGGCCTCACGGGGTTCTCCACGAGGAACACCACTCCGCGCGCAGCCGCGGCGCAGCCGAGCAGGAGGGATGCCCCGAGGAGCGCACTTCCTAGAGCGACTTGCTGACATTCCTCATTCGTCATAAAGCCCAGCCCCCACAGCTGAGAGAGTGAGCGAAGGGCGCGAGATCGAGATTGGCCTTCAGGAGAGGGCCCGCCTCGGGCCCCACCCCAAGTCTCGCAGCGAAGCCCTGCAAGGAGAGCTATTACAAGGCCTGATAAAATAAAAATCATGAGCGGGGTCGAGGAGTCTTCGCGCCTGAGATCGCCAGCCCCCTATCATCAGCAATATCCACGGAAGGGAATATGACGGGCTCCGGGCCGTCAGCGAGGAATTCCCCCACGTGGAACTGCGCGGGTCGGCGCCGCCGCTGACCCGAGAAATAATTAAAAACACCGACAACTCCTTGAGCGATGGGCCTCGCCACACGGGAACTGACCAAATGGCCGATAGCCTCGACCGGCGCGCGAGACAAGGGGGCAGCGGGCAGAGCGAAACGGCGCCGAGCGCCGACGAGCGATGCCACGCATCTCCGAGAACGCCCCGCGCGTTTTAGAAGCCTGCGACGCGCCCAGAATCGGCGGCAGCAGCACTGACAAATTTCACCTCCGACAACGGACCGGGCAGGCCTCTGCGCAGCGCTCAAGAGATGGACGCGCCATAGCGCGGCGACCTTTCCGCGGGGCCAGGGTCGCCGCGCTAAAATCATAGCTATCGCGCGGGGAGGAGCGGGGGAGATCGAGGGCGCAGGAGAAGCCACATGACTCAGGCACAGTTGGCCGAGCTCGCCACGTCAAGACTGCTGATCGGCAAGATCAGAAAGAGAGGCCCGGCGGCTGCACTCAGCACGGAGCTGCATCCGCTTTTCCCAGCGGGGCCCGCCCCGCACCGAGAACGCATGCCCGGAGAAATCCGCGAAGGGCCACATTTGGACGGGGAGATCAAAGAAAAATCAGACCACCTTGATAATTCCTCCATGCCCTCGCCAGCCCGCCCAACAGCAGATGGCAGGCAACGTCGAACAGATGCTCGATGCATGCCCGGGCGAAACGCACGCGCTTGGAGACCGCGTGGGCAGAGTTCCAGCATGCCTGAGCGCTTCGAGCGCGGACTCTCTCTCAATGAAGGCCATCATGAAAATGGCCAGTGGCATACCGAACAGGAAGGTCATAGAAGTGATCTAGCTTGTCTCCCTGAGCGATTGTCATACCTGACCAAACTTCGGAGTCGTAGAGAATCTGAGTAGAGCACGGAATCTTGGCGCACTAGGCCTTCACTCCGGCGGCAATGCACGGGTTCCTTAGAACGCACTTCTCGATGGCCCCGAGGGCGCCAGCTTGCTTGGACCTGCGGGGGATCTCGGGGCCCGCGCTAGCATTCCTGCCGACCATGGTACCAAAGTACTTGTAAGAGGTAGCAATCGGCACACTAAGGTCGAACTCATGGACACTGAATCGCGCCTCGGGCTCCAAGTAGAACTCGTGTCGGCACCTGTTAGCTAACTCGCCTTGAGAGGCAACCATGAGCTCCGTTTCGCCTGGGCCACAGTTGGGGACAAAGCCTCGGGCACGAAAAGCTTCGCGGGCAATCTCGACAACTCTTCCCATCGCACAACGCCAAAGCTCATCGTCGGCGCAGGTGGCCAGCGCGGCAAGATCGCCCACAAAAATAACCCCCCGAGTGGCGCGAGCAACATGCCGGTTATCCGCAGCACGAAAAAAACACATCTGCTCGTCAGGAATACGGCTGAGGTCCAAGAGAAGGCCCTCCGCACCTGAACGGGAATGCTTATGGTCCTGAACTGGCTTAAAGCTGATGTTAAACCTATAACCCACCAGGGGCGCCCCTTGCCGTGTCCCAGATCTGGCCTGCGCCTCTAACTTCGAACCAGGGCGCCCTGCAGGTTTCGGCCGCCAGGGAGTGAACATGTCGGTCCGAAAAATCGTCTGGGAGTTCAGGGGCAGCCACGACCTCTGTAGCGAAAGGAACCATGATGTCGGGGATAGCAGGGCCCTCGGGGATCGTTTCAGAGGGCCCTGAAGCTGGCCTTTCAGGGAGGTGACGAACTGCGGGGCAACAGAGAAGAGGGCCCGGGTAAGGCCCGAGAATAAGGCGATGGAGGTCACGTTAAGTTTGGAACGAATCGCCTGGAACAAGCCCAGGGACAGGAAAGATATGTCGGCGCCACGGTGGGCCGAGCCGCCCATCCAGCACCACCTTGACGTCGACGAACTTCCGCCGAACAAAGGCGCGATGATTTCGAAACTGTGGGCCCAAGCAAATGTTGCCGATAGTTGCGAAGAATAGCCCAGGCCCCATCAAAATACACTCGCAGCCAGGCCCCCTTGGCCCGCGGGGGGCCCCGGCACGGCAACTGCATTTTGGTGCTAAAAAACAAATCTGGCACCGCAACCTGGTAGAGTTCGTCAAAGATGCCATCGAGCCCGCCCGCCCTGCGCATCTTCGAACGTGCAAACGAGGTCCGAGGGCGCGTTGGCACGAAAGGTCGGCGAGGGCGATCGCAGCAGGAAGGTTGAGCTGCACTGGGGGACTGCGAGCGAGCTGCCGTTCTGGATCTCGGCGCGCTCGCTGGCGTCAAGTCTCGGGGGTTTCGTCGACGATTTCACGGTCGCCGGTAGGAGCCTGTCCTCCATCGTCAATGCGCATCGGGCGGCCGCCGGAGCGAAACCTACTCGCTTCGCCGCCGAAGCGCTGGAGAGTACGTGATATATCCCATACTCACTTGTC